TTATGGAAACATTTTGTTTTGTTACCATGGCTGTGCTGCTCGTGCTCTGTGAATGATTTTGTGGTTCGGAAAACTTACAGACCACAGCCCCCTGTCCCGAGTTAGCCCTGCTGGTGAACACTGTAGAGAGGCTGGATCTCTCCCTGATAGTCCTGACCACACCCTCTCTATAACGTTATGAATGAGGTGGTTTCAGCACTTAACTGCTTCATGTGCAGGAATAAAATAATAATTAATAATAAATGCTTACACTTATATAGCGCTTTTCTGGACACTCCACTCAAAGCGCTTTACAGGTAATGGGGACTCCCCTCCACCACCACCAATGGTGGAGCTTTGCTGCTCTTTGGTTTAAAAGACTACTGTAGATGGTGAGCCATCATCATAAAAACATAGTAGAAACAAGGAAAGCACTGTGATTAAATGGTAATTGGAAAATCTTCCATGATGAAAATCATACTCATTCTCTATAGTAAAACATTTTGAAGAGGAAACACCTTCCTCCTGAACTATTATGGGTCTTCTCAGCCCGTTTATCAGCATTTTCTCTGTCTGAAATAAAGACAACTAGGGCACATACTGTAGGAACCCGACGTCATGATACTACTTTCATGTACAGGATACAGGAGTCAATGCTATTTCTTTGGTTATGAAGAGTTTGTAAATGGACAGATGGTGCTTCTCAGTGGGGAGGGACATTGATGCTCCAGGGGAATAGTGAAGTTCACATTGCTGCCTCCGGGAGACTTTCATGAAGGCAGCTCACTCAGAAAACAGCTTGATGATGCTCTGGTGGACACAGCAGGGTTTCATATACCCTTTCACATGTGACAGGTCCAGCAAACACATAGTGAAAATGCAGAGTAAATTAACAACACGGTGAGTTCTGCATCCTTCCTCAACAGGAGTTGAGCCCATAATTTAACATGCAACTGTATGGCTGTTCTCTTCTTTTGTTACAGGGATAATTGTGCATGTTGAGTTTGTCAGATTGACATCACTCCCTTAGTACAAAAACAGCACCTCATCTAGAGGCTGTTCTTTTGGATATGTGTATGTTAGGAGGTTTCAAGGCCAGGCACATGGAAATATGTGAATTAGTTTGCAGTGGGGCAGGCTTTTAGGATGTGTAGATTATAGATGTACAGAGGCTTGCCTTAAGTAATGTATTCAGAGCTGATCTTTAGGAACCATCTGCTCTGAGAGGTGTGCTGCAGAAGGTACGCTAAACATTGAGACTTTGGAAACCATGGTAAATTACAGTAATGTGTGATGTGAGTATGAAAAAGGCAAGAGGCAATTGACAAGTCCACTGGGCAGAAGTGTGCTACAGAGATGTAGGGGAGGAAGGTTTCTTGTGATAAATTACACCAGCTACTTAAGACCTTTGATCCCAAGTCATTCCTCTGTTCTGTGTGGTGCACTTGATCGGGTTTTGATGCTCCTCAATATGTATTATATATGTAATATATGTAATTTCATTTACAGTTATGTATCAAACAGAACAAGGCAATCAACGAGCCTGTGATTAAGAATGTAGCTGGAGCAAAAGACAGAAGAGTCAGTGCTCCTCCAAAACCAGTATTGAAAACCTTTGCTCTAATCCTTATCACTGTTGGACTTTAACGCCACTATTATTTTAATTGAATCTTCCTCCTGTTTAAGATCACTAAACAAAATAAAGTAGACCCTTAATGTTATCAGGTCTACTTTATTTCTGAAGCAGTTCTGTAAAGAGGCTGTTACTAACCCTGGGCCTGGAGCACTGCAGTGTCTTTCGTTGTTCTTTCTACCTGAACATTCGGTAACTTCATTGAGCCAATCGTTAACTGAAATTAGCACATTAAACACTCTCCTCTGCTCTACAACTGCTCAACCCCCCACTGTTTATGAAAGGAATAGACAGCCCTCACAGTGCACCCTTTCATTCCTCTGGGAAGATAAAACAAAAGTGTGGGATAGTTTTCTGGGTCTTTACCAGCGGAGAGACGGAGTGGGAAACAATTGTAGATGTTGGCTCCAGGCTATGGGTGCTCTAGCAACAAGTGAGAAGTGCTAATTAAAATTGTAGTCACTACTTGTCTGGAAATCTGTTTTTTTTCCTGTTCTTAATGAGTTTTTTACCCTAGCTGAACTGATACATTTTCTGCTCAGAATTGCAGGGGCTGGGGGTTTGAGGGGAATTATTTTCCCTTACTCTAAAGGTGAAGAAGAAAGCAGCACACAAGAATCTAACTTTCACGCTGGACAAAGATCTCCTGGTCATACAGCAAGCAGGGCACCCATCCACTCTGAATGTCAGGACGAACCACGAGACAGTAGTGCTCATTTCCCACTGACACTGCTTGAGTTCATACCGCCTTTTCCTTTGGCATTTTCTCTGGCATTGATTCTTTAGGTGGAGCAACAGCACATAGCGAATGAATGGGCTGATGCAACTAATCGACTGATCTGAGGGGGAATTCATAAACATAACAGGTTTCAGACTGCATTGAACCAGAAGGGGCCTGAGAAGCCAAAAAAGTTCAGGGAATAATTACCCTTATTCAGGTTGAATGGGAATGGTCTCAAATAAAAGATAAACCCTTGGAAATGGTTGAAAAGATTACAGAAAACTGTCAAATCAGAAGATAAGTCACATGAGCCTTATCTGGTCTGCTCTATTACTTCTGTGCAAAAGGGAGATTATGAATCTAACTTGAATATGTACAGTATAGTATAGTATAGAGTATAGAGTCTTAGCTCATCACATTAATTCATATTAAGGTTGAACAATCCAGCCTCAGTTTTCTGTTTTCTGTCTGAACTTTTGTTAACTTAATTGGGAGTATCTGGATGGACAAATGGCTTTAAATGAAAAATTCTGGCTTATGAATTCTGAATTGATATTTGTAGATATCACCCGACATCGACTCTCAAACCATCTCCAAGCAACTGTGGTATGATTTGGCACTCAAAAACCAGATCAAAATTGCATTATCAAAGCCAAAGCAACAGTGTTTATTCACTATTCCATCTTTTCACTGCAGTGCCAAAGCATAATGTATGTGTTCGATTGTACACCTCAAGGTTTTTAGAGTTGTGGGGCCATTATTGTATGAAAGATACAATAAGGTGCATGTGTATGTATGTGCATTTGATATTTTCTTCAGTATCAGTGAATTAGTTGTTCAAATAAGAGTGTGATCATACTGTCTGGGCCCAGAAAGAGGGTTGTCATGATGTCATGGAAACAGATCTAGATTGGAAACCCAAATCTACTCTTAGTTGCAATCATATTGTGGAGCATCCTCACTAGTCTGGCAGGAGAGATGCCCTGTCTTCTTCCTGAAGCCTTGAAAAAAACAATAAGGATGACAAGTGAGCATAGCTGGTTTAAAGATGAATAACCTTAGGAGGCTATACTTTGAACACCATTGTAGCCAATAAAACTAAAATTACAGAGCAGCAGAGCAGTTTGGGGGGGGGGAGAGGGGATTAAGACTCTCAGTTCTACAAACCGGGTTCAAACTCAGTCTGTTACATGTATGTTGATGGAGGGAGTGTACGTTTAAAACACAAGTCCTAACAACCTTGCCCCTATCTGAGGAGCGTAACTGAAACTTAGTGAAAGTATTGTAAGATTGTTTAAAGGGAAAGCTCTGAGTGGCTGAAGGAGAAACAAGAAACGAGGAGTGTCCTAAAGAGGCCCTGACCACCATTCAAACAGTGACATGTGGCAAAACAAGGACCTACGTACTGTTTACACTTATTCGGCATGGTTGGGTGTTCTGTGACAAGGATCAGGTGAAAGCTTTTGCTCTGGGTAACCTGCAGCTTGTGGTTTCTATCCCTGAAGTCCTAAAGCTGGGGTTTAGCATTCTTCTGCAAAGAGGGCTGGTGGAGGTAGAGCTTCTACACAATGATGATCAGCCTGTCTTCCCTGGGGTGAGACTGAGTGAGTAATGGAGAGGGTTTCCAGAGAGCTGTGCAGGCAGCGGCCTGGGCTAGGCTACACTGAGGGAGCTGTCCAGGGTGCTACAATTTGCAAGTTCCTGAGTTGATGGGAATTTACATTACAGCTCTGTACAGGACATGGACATGTGTGTTTCCTGAAATAGTATTCCTCCATACTTACTACATGTATTTGCATTGCAAAATTCTCACTCTATGCTTTATACTTTTACATGTTTTTACTTCGGTAATAATTAAAAGGGACTGGTTTGTAGCAGTCTCAAATGTATCCTTCAAAATCAGCATTACCAGAGCATTTGTTCCCCATACGTGTGAGTTACTTATGGAGTTTATTATTAGAAGTTGCCAGGTGCCGTATGTGCTCCTGTGAAACAGGGCTCTGAAGGAATGAGGAATATCAGTCTCCCAGGGTCACACACTCTTCAGCAGACACCTCTCTCCCTACAGAGCTGGTTCTCTAGATCTACATTTTATTATAAAGCAAAAAATGTACCATGTGCAGTACTGCTCTAGAACACTTTTATGTGTAACTCTATTAATGTCAGTAGAGTTTTGAAAGTTTTCAAAGGTTGTATAAAACATGGAAATAAAAATGACAATAAAATCTCTACATAGATTTGAATATGTCAACTGCGCTGCAGAATTATGAAAATAGCACACCTAAAGCTGCTTCTAGGAAGTGGGAATGTGTGAGTGTGTGTTTTATATGGAGAGCTCAGCGACAGTAAATGTGTTTCAGAGCAGAGAGTTGGAATGTCTATACAGTATGTGTGCATGTGTGGTTTCAGATGGAGAGTCAGGGGTACTAAGTGTGTTTACTGTAAGAACAGAGAGCAGGATAGACTATATGTGTGAGTGTGTGTTTCAGATGGAGAGCTCAGAGAAAGTGAGTGTGTTTAAGAGCAGCGGAAAGGAATGTCTCAACATGCAGGGCTTCAGCAGAAGAGAAAGAGAACAAGCGAATGACAGGGGGGAGGGAGAAGTGCATCGCAGGAACACACAGGGACCACATTTTAATGTTAAAAAGTTTTATTTCAACAACTGTCTTTTTTGTTTCTGTATTCCCAAAAAAGTACAAAAAAAACAACCAAAATACATCAAAGGATTAGAAATCACATGAAAATGAAACCAAAGACACATTGTGTTTTTTTTCATATATCAATCCAAGCATTTTTTCCATATATTTATACATACTCACTGAATTAGTCAAACAAACATCAAAACCTCTCAGTAGCTTTTTCTGCTTTCTTTTTTTCCATAAATCCTTTTTTTGTTGTTTTTTATATAAAATACACCAACACATGCCATTATTCAGTAAGGCAGGGTAGGGCATGGGGCAGACCTGGAGGAAGGAGACAGAGCGAGGGGGAGGCAGTTGTCAAGAGTTTCTGGTGCAATGTGGTGGTGGTGGCTGGGGGGGCAGAGAGCAGTGTCGCCGCCGTGTGGTGGGGTGTGGTATTACATCATGTTGTTCTGTAGCGAGTTTACCTCGGCGTTGTCCTCGCCACTTGCTTTGTTGTTCTCGTGTTTGGGCGTCAGTGAGTTCTGGATGTTGAGGGGCTCTTCCTCCTTGGGGGGCAGGGCCTTCACAGGGTCCTCCAGCTTGTTCTGTGCGTTCGGATCGTCCTGCCAAACAACACCCTCATTTAGCCAGTGCTAGAACCCCACCCCTATGGTGCAAAGACACCCGGGGGGGTCAATCCTGAAAGCTTTCTGTTCCAGGACAAAACCTGCTTCTGATGTAGACAAAGCTACAGTAAAAATGTAAAGGTGCAAACCTGGAATGTTTTTATCTATTTTCAAACTGCTTTATCCAGTACCAGGTCACCTGGACTCAATATAGGATACACCCTGGATGGGACAACAGTCATTGCAGGGCGCACACAGACACAAGCCAATTAACCTTCCAAAATGTCTCTGTGGCTGGAAACTTGAGCACCCAGAGGAAACCCACACTAACATGGGGAGAATGTATAAGCTCCATGTAGATAGCACCCCAGGAACTGAACCCAGGATCCCAGGGTTCTGGGCTGTGATTTTTTTTTTAATTCAGGCAATTTAGACTCATCTTCATCAGAAATAAAAAACAAAACAAGGAGCAGGTTGTGCACCGGAGCAAAATGCTTTGAATTTCACTTTGTTTTTTGCTCTCAATCTCCAGCAAACACTGCCTTTGACTTACCTCCAGGGCTTCTGCAGCATAATCTCATCAGCAACAGATCTTCCTTAAAAGCTCCCATACCATAAGCACACAGAAATAAAAACAGCCACTCTGCTCAAACTGCTTTAGATAATGAAAAAGAACAGCAGACAGCATCCTTAACCTCTAGAACACCACACTGTTATTTATCCCTGTGCTCTACAATGGAAATATGCATTGTTCTCTAACTTCTCCATTTATAATATGTAAGTTTATTCACAGAGATCCTTCACCAAGCAGCTGTGTCCAAGGTCAATATGTTGGTAGCAATTAAATGAGCAAGGCTTCATTGTGTATTCACCTTTCCTGCATTTGTCTGCATTTATACTATTAATGACAGTGGAGTGCAGAGCTCCCTGACACTGAGGAGCAGAGCAGTGTCTGTTCCCTGTACGTGTACATGCTGCTGTCTAAACCACAGCCTCCCAAAGACCAACTGTTCCTGCTGCTCTACAGAGTTCCTTACAGAGGAGGTGGATTATCATAAAATTTGCACTTCTTTTGTTGTATTTCTTGCATTACATTTCTTACATTGTGTCCTACATCACATACTGTAACTGCCTGAAGCATATGAATGAATATGTAAGGGACTCTATATGGCACTATATGGGACTATATGTGTAATGGCAGGCTGACTGAAGAAGGGAGTGCAGTTACAGCAGACTTGCCACTAGAGGATTGTATGGCCTCCAATTATTGTAAATAGCCACACTAGGGGTGACTGACTTAATTTTTGGTTAATTGGTATAGAGTTTGGACTTTTACTTACTCACAATGGTGCAATTAGACTTTGTTTCATATTTAAAGGACATGTACAGTATGGTACCAGTGAGGTTGTTTTGTTTTTGAATGTTGTTTTTTTTGTGGTTGTTTCTCCTGCAAATTAGTTTAATAATTAAATGGTATGATAATCACACTCCATAGTCAATTTCTGTTTAGCTACTCTGGTCTGTTGGTCTCCATGACTGACCTGCTAAATGAATCTTTAACAATATTTACTGGATCACCCATTGATTCTGGATGAGAATCGACCACACCCATGTAGGAAGTGTAAGCTCATTATTTTTAAACTTATTTGAGTGAGACACTGGCTGTTGCCCCTTATTTTTCAACTGTATGGTGTTGTTATAGAGATCTTGTAAATATCTACGAGAAATTTTCCTGGAAGTCTGATTTGCAGATGGGTGACAGATCCTTAATAAGGGGAACCTGAGATTTCCCCAGTCAGTCCATTTCTCTTTGTCTAGCAGAATATAAACAGTAGGTTTTATAATGAGTCCACCGCCTCCCACTTTGCCAGTACCTCTTTCAACCAAGGAAGTTGGACGTGTTCTTGTACGACCCCTTGTTTTACCGAGTCTTCTGTTGATTGAAAAAGAACCAACAGGATACTAAACATGCCACTTTTGATGTAACACCAATGTTGAATTCAGGAAAAAATTATATGCAGAAGCTACAGTATTCAGCGTGGCCCAGTCGTCCCAGCAGATGGTATAGGCTTTGCTTTCTTCACTACGCTGTGTCAGCAGCACTCTAATGGAAGCTCAGCGGCAAAGCGTCAGTTCCAACAGCACAGCTAAAGGGAAGCATGCCAAAGGGTTTTTTGGATTGAATCATGTGTGGCAGAAAATAGCATGCTAATGCTTCCAGGAGCCACTGCTGTGGACACAGCGCCAGACAGTCAGTTTCGATTTTAACCCTGTCAATTCCTTTCGGCGAAAGCAAAAATTGCAAAAATAAGATGACTTGTTCTTTACAGTTCTTTTCTTTTAGCCAACATGGTTTCTCCTTCAATTATGCTCTTTAAGGGATGTTATTGCTTGGAAGCAGGGGAGGACTGTGAGCTGCAAACACCTACCCTCTCCTACTGTAAGAACCACAAGCAGACATGCACTCCCATATCTAATAAACATGCACACTGTCCCTGCTATGGCATACAGTCCTGCCCTCCTCCAAAACTACAATGTAGTTCAAGTTCTTGACAAAAAATTAATTGGCTTTTTTATGCAAATGTGTTGAATATAATTCTGTTAATTCCTTTTTCTATCCTTTGTAAGAGGGCAGTAGGTGCACACAAGATGGTGGATTGTGTCTAAACCACATTCCCTGAAATCACGTTCTCTCTCTCTCGCCTCGCCTATTGGAGGAAGACAATTGACGGGTGACAGTTAAAATGTGGAGGTGTCTGGTTGTCGATCTGTATCTGGTGTCTAGGAGATGCTCAGATATGCAGTGAACCACAGGGAAGGCAGAAGCAAGACAACTGATCATGGATCTTGGGACACTGAAGAGTAGGGTTTGGGATTTAAGAGAGAGACTTTGTTTTTTGGAATTAGGAATTTGGAATTAGTAAGCATCTTTGTGGCTCAGATATTGATAGGGAGGATACATTTGAGGGGAAGATTTTAGTTAGAGCTTTAAGAAGAGCTAGGGTTTTTGTCTCTTTGTCTGCTGCTTGAGATCTGCTTATTTAAAAGATGTCAGCTATTGCACTGCCCATCTGGCCCTGTGGTGGAGGATGCGGGCATGGGTTGTCATCTTTCGAACTGCATGCTCCAGTGCTTGATTAGTACTAGTGTGAAAGAAGTGTTTTGAAAGAATTAAAATACAAAATGAAGGGCTATTTGAAGAACCAACTGACCCAGTCCACCGTGAACCACCAGGCATGTTAAATGAATGTCTTATGACAACACAAATTTAAACAGATGATGGATGGCATAGTGCCATTCAGAATAGCTATAGGAAGTTCTTTTAAAATGTTGCAAGTACTTAGATATATCCTAAAATATTCCTGCACCATCAGTACTCTGCCCAATCCTGCAATACTTGCTTACTAGACTGCAGAGATTAAGTTAACTGACTATTTTGAATTGCTTCTTTGCAGAGATCAAACAGTTCTCCTGTGCAGGGTGCTGTTCCTGTAGCTCCTTACCTGGTAGTCTGGCTCCTCTTTGGTCTTACATTCCCAGGTGTATCTGCTCATGGTTTTCTATGAGTGTGGGAGAGGTACAGTCCTCAGAGATTAGCACTTGCTCACAGAGAGACGGGGATACAAGACCCAAGAGAGAGGTGTGCTAGGAAAGGATGTAGCCAACAATTTTCCAGCTCATGAAACCTGCTGCACACTGAGGATGCCATTTTGGCAGTTTGGAGGAAAGTTACTTTTTAATAAGGAATCCATTACAGCTGCAATTTACTTGTATCAGAGATTCATTTTTAAATTAACACAAAATCATTTAAAAAAATGATCGATTACAGTGATTTGTGCAGTCTGTGTATCGTTAGTATGCAATTACCTCTTCAAAGTGACTTCCTTTAACTTTTTATTAATTGAAAAGTCCTTTATACAAGTAATACATAGCTGTAATGGATTACTTTTTAGAAATACTTTTCTCCAACACTACTCTCAGGGCTTTATTCTGGTTGGGTTGATGCACAGTGGTGGATAGATTTATTTTCATATGTCGCACTTTCATATATGGAGTAATAATTAAGATGTGGGTCACCTACACTTCGTTGGGGGGGTAATGTATTCAAAAAAGCAGGTTAAAGCTGACCTTCCAAAATCATTTTGGAGTGCCAACAAGAGCACCTTCCAGGATGATTATGGCTCAGAGACATGCACAATAGAAATGATCTACATGTTAGAAGTGAACCCTTATTCTACTAAATTGTAGAACATGTTGAAACAGTTGTATACCCTACGGGATCTGTGGCATGGGGAAGAAGTCCTTTAATACCATTTTTTGATTCTTTGGCTCCCCTCTAACCTGCTCATTAAAAGCTGGATGTGCTTTTCAGCATCTATGGCACCCATAGTGTATCCAGCCCTCTTAAACTAGAGATGAGTCTCTATCTGACGTGAAACAGAAAACTGTAAGAATACTTCTCAAACGAGGGTGGGCAATTTTTGTTTTACCACCACTAAATTTATTCAGTGGTGGTTTGTTCACAGTCTGTAATTATCAACTCAGAGTGCTGCATCAGCAAGGCTGCACTGTATCAGCCAGTAAAGATACGAACTGATCTCCCCCCCAGTTCTGTCAGTTACACTATTGGTAGGCTACCTATGGGATTGTGTGGCAAGCCCTCTTTGGGCCAAGCTGTACTGTTGAGGCAGAGTGATAGTATTTTCTGCTTTCAAACCAGAGATGTTTTCTTCAATACCAGCATAAGTGTGTGTTTGTACTGGAACCTCAACAGCGAGTGGCAGCAGGCTAATGAGACTGTGGTTGACTTTATTTCTTCACCATAACAACCTCCTCATTTTCTGTCCATGGAATTTCTTAATACTGTGTCTTCTGACTGTTTCTTGTAAATTTATTTTTTTGCTAAGAAACTGCTTTTCTCTGCTTTTTGTGCGCTTGCTGGCTTTTCACTGTGAAATGAAATTTCGACAACAGAAGTTCTCAATATTTTTGTCCTCCCTCCTTCACCTGGGACTGTTAAATAGAGAGCTACACAGAGCTCCCTAACACTAACAGTAGGTCTGGTAGTCCAGTGTGACCCCTGCCTGACTGTGCACACCTTCCAGTGGTGACTACAGCTCAGCCTTCCTGTTAGTCTTATCACTTCCCCCACAAAATTTAAACATCATTACGCATGTCTCAGTATACTCATTTATTTTCATAATTATTCCCTTGAGGGAATTTTGTTCTTGCAAATAAGTTATAATAATTATGCAAATATGTTTCCAGAGCAACATATTGACCAGAGTGGCTACTGAGAGATATAGTTCCTGAGCCAAACAAGTTCTAATATTTACAAATCGCTAAATTTTTAGTGATTTGATTCAAAAAGATTTTAAGGTTTCTTAAGCACCCACTAAACACTAAAGGTCTAGGAGTGAAAGCAGGTGTGACCAATTTGACAAATAATAAATCGGATTGAGCTATTAAGACTCAGTACTGAACAAAAACAGATGCATTCTGCCACTTGAGGTCTGAATTGTGGACACTGCTATTACAAATCATTCACAACTACACCCAGTATTTGGCAAAAGTGACGTGGCATTTGAAAAATAAGGACCAAAATAAAATGCAATTAATGATACTCATATTTCCTGTGGAGTACTGTAGTAATAAGATTTTAATGCAGGTTGGCTTAAGTTGCAGTCTCCCTGGAAGGAGAAAAAGCAGAAGAATTATGCTGAAGTGTTCATTTGGGTTCTTCAGAGACAATGAACACCTTCACAAGATGAACGATCGCAGAAAACTACAGGAAACAAGCTCTTAGCAAAAGGCTTGAACTTTCTCCCTGCTTTCATGTCATGTCAGAGAAGAACACAAAATCCCCATTTGTTACTAACACCTGCTCTACAGATATGAAGATGGAGAGAGTTATTCATAATGTGACGCTGTTGTTAGGGTGTACTGTCCTCCAGTTTGAAAGTTGCACTATGGATGTGGCAGTTTGTCCTGAGGTGGAAATAAGGCTCACATTGCACAACAGATGTATCTGGTTCAGGGCTTGAGAGCGACAAGCTCTTGTACAAAATATATTTTTGTGACAAAGAAGTTTTAACAGGAATTGTCAATAATAAGGAGACAAACACAAACTATTGAGGTGTTCTGTTGTTAGTAGATATTGCAGAGCTGTTTAAATATGCACAGATCCAGCTGTTTCGAACAGATTCGGAGATAACACCAGCGTCTGCTAAGTGAACACACGTGGGGAGGTGTCCAAACATGCTGACTTTGGGTTTGTGGGAATTTTCCCTATGCATCCTTTTCCCTGTCCTGGTGGGGTGGTCATATGGAGGTATTTAGAGGAGGTGGGAGGCAGACATATTGTACAGTATGTCCGCAGAGACATCCTTCAATTATTGTTCCCCTTTGTCATCACGACTGGTGGCATTACTGTGCAATGGGAGTCTTAATCCATATGGGCTGGACTTGGACAGTCTTGGAAGAATGGTACCAGACCTGGTGGTCTGACTACTACAGAGGGTGATGAGACAGTGTTAGGTCTAGAAGGTTCAGTCTCTATCCAGCTGAAAAGAGTGTTAAACTGTCTGCTCTCTCAACGGCCCCGTGGAGGGGGGTATGTTGCATCTCAGCTGTTTATCCTGACAATCTGAATATCTTACCCATTCCAAACAGAAACACCTTGTAGGTCCATTTAACTAAACAAAGCTGCCAACCCAACATAGGTATGCAATGCATACTCAATGCAATTCCTTATGGTAAACCAGGATAAACATGTGAAACAGACAGACAGTGGCTGTATGACATACAAGCAGCAGGGCTTCATATGGCCTCCAGGGAGGCAAAGGCGAGCGACAGAGCATGCAGTGAGGAACAAGAGCAAAAGTGACAGGGGTTGTGGGGCCACAGAAAAGGACAGGCCAGCAGTTGATCAGGTGAGATCATCTGTTTTTTCCAAAACAATTTTTCTCGTTGTCTGTTTTCTGACTTGATTTCCAGTTCTAACCCTAAGCCCATGGCGTACATCTTGGGGCACCTGATGGGTTATCATTTTAATGACTGGGCTCAGGGAGTGCAATAACATGTCTAGAAAGCTAGTGCAGGAAGACCATGAAGGAGAGTATAGTATGGGGAGATGGTATCTGCCTGAACTATAGACATGGCATTGTCTCCCACTTGTTGAGAAGTGTAAAAAGGCTTTCAAAGTCATTTATTGCAAGAGCAGCTTTTGTATAGGCTCCTGCATAGGAACATGGCCTTATCAATACTTGATGGACATAGACTACTGTAAAAAAGATAGTAGCCGTGTAATAAAGATAGTAAACAAAGTCTGCAATACAGATAAAACTGTTGTATCAATAAGCAACGTATGGATCCATCCTCAACGTATGGATGTGTGCCAGCTGAGACTGAGCTGCAAAGAACTAGCATCCAGGGGCAGCTTTGTACTTTTCATTCTTTTGCTACAGTAAATGGCATCGAGTACAGCCTTTGGAGACACATACAGTTGTGAAGACTTAATCAGTTCCAGTATGGACATTTATTTTCATTTGTTGATCTCCAAAAAAAGATAGATCATATGGTCAGAGCCTGTTTTCAGAGTCCAATGCAGCAGAGCAGCTGATGCTGGCTCTCAGCTGTTGTAAATTCAGGGTCAGGCAGGGTGTGGGCCTTGGGCCGGCAGACTGCCTCAGTCAGAGGGGAGTGTCTTGCCTTGGGGCCTTGAAATAATCTTCTTAATCTCAGCATCTATTGTAATGAATATGCAAGTACAGTATAAGGCGTGTTCATAATTAAGTGAAAACATACAGCTAAAATATTATACATGGCTGTGAACTGGTGTGAAGGCACTCAGAAAGACCTTTGGGTTTGTGTGTCCGCTACATTAGCGCAGAATGAACTGAAAGAGGTTTGTCAGCTGTCCTAGACTGGATGGGAGATCTTTGACAGTGATAGCTGAGCCACTGTGCACATATTATTCAAATAGCATGAGAAAAAACAAAGCCATTGTAGAGCAAGAGATTACATTATGCTTAAAGTATGGTCCAGCTAGGACTGGCATGAATGTTGTGCAAAGGTAATTTAGCACTATTCATGGATAACACATTGACGCTTTCATTATCTAGAATGGCATGCTGTATTACTCAGTCAGATTTACTGTACTGTAGTAACGATGATCTAGCAGAGTGCTACCCTAATCTGGCTCACTGTTTGAAGAATGGGTTAAGGCTGTGCTAGCCTTGCTCATTATACAGCTCATTAACTGCAGGTTATCACTTTTGCAGTCTAGCCTGGCATTCTGTTTTGACAAGAGGGAAGCACAGCTCCTGGTGCCGGCTGGCCTGTCCCAGTGAGAGGACCCCAGAGGTGATGCGCAGGCCCATGCAGAAGGGAGAGAGACAAGAAGGACGTTACCTGACAGATAATGTTATCATAGTAAGCCAAAGCACGGGCATGAGGGAGGTTAGGTGGGGTGTCGCAAAGTTTCCTTACATTTGGGTGGGAGCCCTCAGCGATGGTCGACAGCGAAAAATTATCATTGTGCTGCTCCGAGGGAGGGCGGTACTTACTGCAGAGAGAGACAGAGTCAGGGGGGAGAGAGGGAGGGAGGAAAAAGACAGAAAAGTGAAAAAGAAAGTAAAAGGTAAGAGGAAGTATTAAACAGGAAAGGAGGAATGAAGGACAGAAGAAAGGGAAGACGAAGGGAAGTAGGAGGAGGGAAGAGAGAGGATGAAAGGAAGATAGAAGAAGAAAAGGAGAGAGTTTTAAGAAAGAGACGTACAGCCATTAAAGAAAGAAGATTAGTGGTAAAAGAGAGAAAAACAGTGTATTTGTAAGGGGGTGGGGGTCATGGGGGATGGGGAACATAAAAAGAAAAAGAGAAAAGCAAGAGAGAAGCGTTAGTGCAAATCCAGGTCTTTACTTTTACTGCCAGGGACACAGTCGGCTCACTAGGATGCAACATCAGGCTCTATAGCTATTGGGGAGGCTGTGGAGTGAGCTGGTATCACTATACTTACCACGTGCTGGGTTTCACACAGTCCTGCCTTATTAAAAACAACTGCCTAGACACTGGGGCATTACAAAAATAATACAACGCCAAGCACAAAACAGGGCAGCCACAAAGACAGCAGTATCTGGCAGCTTAACCTTTTGCATCATGCAGAAAGATTATATTTAGCCTCTAGGGCACCGAACTGTTCAGAAAAATATGGTGAATTCAGTCATATTATGTGCTCATTTTAGTGGGGTGGAGCTCTGTACTGGCAGAAATCGAAGCTCGAGACTATAAAAAGGTATTATCCAGATCCCTGGTTTATTTCAAGAAATGACTGAATGAGATGAGATTAATTAACTGCTAACTATCAGAAGGGTCAGAACGGCCTTCTTTCATTTGTAATCATTCTTATTATCCCAAGGTGATAGTTGACAATGATAGTTGTATTGGGTCTGCATAGATAGACAACCTGTTCTCTCTCCACTTCCTATGAAACACTCAGCTTACGGTGTACCTACTGCACATTATGGCACTAGTGATCTTTGTTCCCACAAATAATTCTTAGCTAGCAACGGGCAGCTGGAACTTGAAAACAGAAAAACAGGTATTGGTATGAATCGCCTTGCACGGTTGAGTGAGAAAAAGAAATGAACTCTGTAACTTGTATTGTTCTGCCCTACCACTTCTATCTCTGTTCAGGTGGGTGAAATACAGCTCTCTGAGCTCATTTTGGCTTGTGCTAAACATTCAGCTTTGTAAGGCGCCAGGGACTTTAGCAAGATAAAAACGGATCAATAACTTGTGCCATGGAAGAAAAACAAAAAAGCTGAGAATTGGACAGAAAACAGGAAAGGAGTATTTTTTGCACTTGAAGTGCATCGTGTCTTGCAAATGATGGATCTGTAAATCAAAATAGGAAATAAATGTACAATAGCCACTTGTCATAGAATTCAGGAAAGAAGAACTAACCAGTTACAATCATTAACAAAAGTGCATTTTTTTATTTTTTAAAGTAATTAAATGCAGCCCTGGATTGACAGACAGAAGGATCACTGATATACAGTGAAAATATTTCAGACTCCATCAATACGAAAGGTAAAGAAGATAATGACTGATGCTACTGTTATAATATGTGCTGACTGTGTGTGTGTTAATTAGCCTCACTGTAATCCCCATAGCGTATCTGGCACTGGACTCAGTGGGGCTGACACAGCATGCCCCAGCAGACCGTCTTCTTAGTGTAGCAAAGTGTAATTGATTTAAAAGGTTTTATATTCACTTTATACCATGTACACTATAGCATTACGAAGTGGTCATTCTAATGTATCATTCAAATAGTGTTCCCAGAACTTTTTAATATTAAAAATCCTATTTGTCACCATGTATTTTTTATGATCCATGAGAAATGGAGACATATATAGAATGGATGACCACTGCGCAAGTTTCATCGCAAGATGAAGGTGAGTTCAGGTATGCCTAGGGTTCCATCACAGAGAAAAAAATAAAATCGAGCAAGAATCCTACAAAATCCCTAGAAATGTCCTTCAGAAATCCCCCGGGGAAAATTCTACAGGACTCCAGTCCTGAAAAAAGCACTCCTGAGGGAGTGATACAGGACAGGAATTCAAATTTCAGGATATGAGCATCTACAGTAAACACTGCAAGAGTTCTTTACTTATTTGTCCTTCATGATATCTGGATCCTGATGATCCAGGAATAATGCTGGGGTTTTTATGATAAACAAACGCTGAACAAACGCTTTGCCCTCTTTACTACAGTTCTGAAAAATGAGGAAAGAACATCTCAGCTACTGTGTCTTCTCCTACCAGGTTGAAAAGATCTTCGTCCTACCCACCTTTAAAGGATGCTGTACAGATTTTCATTTAAACTCCTAAAACTAAATACCAAAATAAACTGTTTTCCAGATCTCCTTAAAGAGACAATATTTTTAGTCAATAGATAGGCAGACTGTCATGTCATGCACCCTGTAGGGTAGGACCACCTGGTGAAAATAAAAAAGCTGCAGATCTATGTTGTACATTCTCAGAAATGCAACCGTTCAGAAATGTACACTGTGAATAGCACACATAATTTAATTCAATTTGCAGCACAGTGATGCTTTATTAACAAAAGCCCATCACCCTTACACTGTTGCCAGAGAGCGGGATCGTGTGAATGGTTTTAATTGCAGTATGTACTCTTTTCAATAGCATCTAGTAATGTTTCCTGCCATTTCTATTGCTGCACTCACAGTATAGCGAAGGCAATTTTCCATAGCAGATGGAACTGTGGGCGTGTGATGTATTCATGAGCTTTTTCCTGCATCAATGTCTCCTATTCCCTATGTACATCCTCCATGAAGTGCTGTCATCCCTTGGCATAAACACACTCTTACACACACGCTGCAACTAACTGCACATCGCCTCACTGACAATTAGAGATAAGTAAAGTTTGCCTGAGCATACTATGAAAGGGTTGAAATTTTTGGGTTTTCAGTGCATTTCCCTCATCTGTCTGTTTTTTGTAAGGTTTTCTGCTGTATTCTCAGTTTTTTTCCTTTAAGTGAGAGCATAACCAAAATCTCAGTTTTTTCTTTTGAACTAATAAACAGATTTTTTTTTACTTCTTTTGTTTTTGACCTAAAGCATTCCTCCAATTCCACAGGATTTTCAGACTATTCCAAGTAACAAATGACAGTAGGTGTGAGTGTGGTACAATAAAATACGAAAGACAGGGAGGGGGCTCAGCTCACCCAAACTGGGGAATGAATGGAGGTGACTCTGAGGCACACTTCAGGTAAGGCGATAATCACATTGCCTGTTTTTAAAACAGCACTTCGCTATTACTTTATAATAACTGAGTCACTTCCAAAGCCTCTCTTGGACCACGTCATACAAATTATGTCGCAACTCTACTCCAATAGATAGACTGAAGGGGAAAGTAATGCTCTATAATGACACCTGAAGAAGGCTCCACGGCCGAAACGTTGTGTTCTCTTTCTTCTTTTTTTCAGCATGGAATAAACCTATTACTTGTTCCTATGCTCTATAATGCCAGCTCATTTCAAAAGGCCACACAGAGAAAACCGAGGGCATAGGGAATGTACTCAAAAATCTATACCAGCAAAATTCAGTGAAAAACGTTATTCTTTTCATTTATTTTAAGCAGCTTCAGATAGTGTGACATTTCGATTTTGAAAAACAGTCAAAATGCAAGCATCAGCAGTGATGTCTGTCATTAGCTTCTGTTTTTGACCTCTTGAATCCCCCCTTTATTATCTATGACTGGAGTTTCAGTAATGTGGCACGTTGTGGAGAATTTTGTACTGCTCAAACGGTAGAATATATATCTGCACTTCTGCAATATGCTTGTGGACTGTGCAATATATCCACCGTGCAATCTTCTGTGTGCACTGTACATTCTGTTTTATTTTTGTTTATTGTTTGTTTGTTTATTCTGTATTATTATGTCGTACGTTGCTGTGTTGATTGTGCCTGGCTGCTGTTGCACTGCAATTTCCCTCACGGAATTAATACAGTATCTATCTATCTCTATGCTTTTGTGGACCTCTGTGACTTTAGGCACCACTATGACCATAAATATTGTTTACTACAGCTTCTTTTGCAGCTCTTTCTAATTGTTTATTGGGGGGATTTTCAAATTCTTTGTGCACTAGTGCCAAATGTCTCCCTTTCTGCGTGATCAGAAAGGATGGGCAAAACATGATCTTTATCTTTATTTTAGTTTGAAACAAAAAAAGGACTGCACTGGAGGAAAATGATTCACTCAATCTCAAACACAGCTGAAGCTGACCAAATATCCTGAAAGACAGATGTTCTTGAGTACCAATCCTCAATCATAATATCCTTTCAGCTGCACAAAAAGCAGGCAAAATATTACAGCGGTTCCATACTAAGATGCAACAAGGTGTCAGACTCCTATGTGCTGGCATCTTGCTCTGAAAGTTCTGGGCTGGTTCTGCTGGGCATGAAAACAGCTACAGAGGTAACACACTCAAAAGGACTGCACTGCCCTTACACTCACTGTCATGCCTGTGTCCTTTGGTTTCACCCTCACACTCTCTGTCTATGTCTGTCCTACAGTATAGGTTCCTCATTACCTGCCACTGCATGTCCTTTTTGTTTCCTCCTCTCTGAACTACACCTTCTCTTCCAATCCAGTGCTCTTTTTCCTCTCTGTCCTCTGTACTGTCTCTTTAAATCCTGACCTTATTCCCCTCAACCCCTCTAGGCAGCACAGCTGTATGTAGGTCGCCCCTCCCCTCTCAACTTTGTGTCCCACTTTCCAGCTGAGGCAATGGCGTCACACCACACTGCGAGCTGCACTGAGTGTGTTCACTCACTGTCAGGCTGGCCGGCTCACACTGGGGTGTATCCACATTGCATGAACTCCCTCTGCCTACTCTCTCTCATTGTCTGTGTTCTCATGTAATTTCTTCCTGTCTCAATCTCATTGTCCCTCTTTCTATTCCCTGCTCAGTGTACTTGTTTGTGTCTGTACTCTGGTTATGCCACAAATGTCTGCTCTATGTGTGTTTATTCATTAATGTATTCCCTTACTCAGCTCTTTGCTGTCTCCCCCCTCACTTTCTCTTTTCAACTTTCCCCTCATCCCTCAACATCTCCTCTCTTCTCTGCAGCCTTCTCACTCTTCCTTCTTCATCTACTCTTTAACTCACTAAAGCTCAGCAGGTGTGAGCCTGGTCAGTTCCTGGATGGGAGACCTCCTGGGAAAAACTAACATTGTTGCTGGAAGAGGTGTTAGTGGGGCCAGCAGGGGGCCCTCACCGTGTGGTCTATGTGAGTCCTAATGCCCCAGTATAGTGACGGGGACTATACTCTAAAAAGGTGCCCTCCTTCGGATGAGACGTAAAACCAAGGTCCTGACTCTCTGTGGTCATTAAAAATCCCAGGGAATTTCTCGAAAAGAGTAGGGGTGTATCCCCGGCGTCCTGGCCAAATTTCCCAGTGGCCCTTACCAATCATGGCCTCCTAATAATCCCCATCAAGAAATTCGCTTCATCACTCTGCTCTCCTCCCCACTGAGAGCTGATGTGTGGTGAGAGTTCTGGCGCACTATGGCTGCCGTCGCATCATCCAGGTGGATGCTGCACATTGTGGTGGTGGAGGGGAGTCCCCATTACCTGTAAAGCGCTTTGAGTGGAATGTCCAGAAAAGATCTATATAAGTGTAAGCAATTATTATATTATTATTATTATTATTATTATTATTATTATTATTACTTGCCACCTTCCAGTGCTGTTTCCTTTCTTTCCACTCTTCCCTTCTGCTTTCTCCCTCACTCATCACTGCAACCCTCCTCTCCTTTTATCCTCATCTCACTCCCATTTCACTTCATCATCCTTCACCCCTCTTCTAGAGCTGTCTTTCCTGTTCCCTGCGTTCCCTCTCCTTCCCTGTTCTTGTCCCTTTTGTCCCACCTCAGAGTTGGGATTTGGGGACTCACCTGCGTTTGCGCAGCTTGCTGTTCTCAGTCTTGAGCAGATGCAGCTTCTTGGCGAAGAAGACGGTGATCATGAAGAGCAGCAGGACCATAAGAGCGGCGGCCCCGATCGCCATGCACATCACCTGGAACTCGGTGATGACAGATTCACACCGGGAGCCCTTGTGCCAGATATAGTCCTGCACATTGCACCTGCAGGGAGGGAGACGGAGAGCAGGAGAGGACCAGGGAAGAGGGAGCAAGTGGGAGAAGGAAGGATAACAAAGGGAGATGCAGAGAGAGGAGGGTTATGAAAGAAAGGGAGGGAGGGTGAATAAGGAGAGGTGAAAAGAGAGCATTAGATTCCCCTTGGAGTTACAGACACAGCTCCTCAGGATTCTCATACATTGCCTGTGCCAGATGTCACTGGGATTTCTGATAAGAACATAAGAATGTCTGATTGCACTGTTAATAGTATGTTGTGGAAAGTTAATATATCAAAAAGAGCATTCAGGTACAGGAACCTAACCAAGAGGAATCAAGGGTCTCAGAATCTTAATGAGCTAGACGGTCAGAGAGCATGGTTTTAGAAGTATGCTAAATTCAAACTCTAATTATAATGCAGTCTTACAGTACATAACAAATTGAGGAATGGATGTGTACAGGAAGAAGTGGTTATAGTGGGCGATCTCATTTCTCTTCACACAGACAGGGAAATATCATAATGTATGTCAGCAGCTGTAGTATACTGGCAGACATGGCTAATGACTGCCTTCTTAATCAATTTGTCAGAGCACCAATTAGAGGTTAAAAAGCCTGAATTGATCCAGTTTGATTAAAACAATCAAAACAGAATGAGGGAAAAAGAGCTAAGAGACCATTTGGCAAATGTGATTATTATATGATCATAATGTAGTATGCTGGGAAACTAAGGTTAACAGTTTCAGGAAAGCAGGAAGGAAGCTAAAGATAGAGCTTAAAAGGAGTAGAACAGGCAAGACAGATATGGAATCAGTAAAGAATGGACAGCAACAGATTGAAGGGTTTCTGCTTCAAGCACATAAAAGGTTAATTCCAAGAATAAGTAAATCAAAAGCTAGAAAGAAGTTGTCCAAAAGGATTAATACTTTAATTAGTAAAAATATAAGGTGAAAGAAAGCACTTTAAAAATGCTTAAACATTAACAGGATCAACCTAAAGAAATTATGCTTAATGAAATACAAGCACAGGTATTTTTCAGTTAGAACAGCAAATTAACAGTAAAGGGCAAGGTAAACTGTCTGGAAGATAATAATGGGAAACATTTGATAGTGAAAAATAACTGATGTATTAGATGACCGGTTCACCAAGGTCTTCACCAAGGAAGAAATCAAGAACATGCCTCAGACTGTTGAGGAAAGGCAAGGTTCTGTGTTAAATAATAGTTGGATAGGGATGGTGGAAGTGTTACAAGTAATAAAAGCACTTAAACAAGTCCCCAGAGCCTGATGGTATTATACCTATGGCACTTAAGGAAAAAATATCAGCAGCCTTGATACTAAAGTAAAACACTGCAGCATTACTGAAACAATTCTTACTTGTTATTACTTACCGTTACATAGTATGGTTAAAGAAAAGATAATTACAACAAGATGGCTGTTCACAAATTTATTATAGCTATGAATATAGGAATCTGGGGGTAGGCCTTTCTTAAATTACTTGAACAAATGACAGTAGACATGAATATGATATTATAGTATATTTTGTCTTTCAGAAGGCATTTGTTTAAAGTGTCTCATAAAAGATTGGTTCTCAAAACACTGGCGGTAGGGATCTGTAAAAGAACAGATTATTTATATCAATGACACAGATACTGGTATTGGAAGTAAACAAGTCAAGTCTGCAAATGATCCTAAATTAAGCGGAAATTGCAAAGTAATTACACAGAATTCAGAACTTCGCAAACCTCTGGCACAAGTAATTAGTCTGGCATCTGTTTAGTGTCTCTTAGGTGCACTGTGCCTTACACTCCCAAAAAAGGTTTCCCGTGTGCAGAATTCTCAACTCAATCACTTGTCACTATGGTTCTAATGGCTGAGGCTCTTGGTATAAAACAGAACTACAGAACACCAAACTCTTTCTGAATAACACAATGTTCATACAAACCCCTTAATGAACCCTGCTTTTAGCTGTGGTTAATTATTATTATTACATATTGTGACACTTAATTTATTCTTTTTAATTCTGCACACACACACACACACTCCTTCAGCATAAATAAGTGCTGTAATTACAAACATTACACACAAAGATAGCCAAGTCAAATGGAAGCCTCACGAAGAGACGTCTACACTAAGCTCTACTTTCTGGACTATCTGATCGTGCTTCTGTGGCTGTTTGACCACACAGAGTTTAGCCACTCATCCCCCAGCCCTGTTTATCCTGTTTCTCGGGACATCTGAGAGAAATTACAAGGCAGGTCTGCAGTTAATAGCAGGAACAGGAACAGGGCAGAGCAGCTTGTTCCTTTTCAAAACATAAAATGGTTACCAACTAGAGGAGGCCATTAGCTGGTACTCAGTTTTTCCAGGATCTCATCCAGCCATTTCTTGAAAGATGCCAGGGTATCGGTTTCAACAATATGGCTGAGCTTGGTTCAGACTCCCATAATCCTTTCGGTAAGGAAGTGCCTCCTGTTGTTGGTTTTGAATACACTTCCATGTAGTTTCCACTTGAGCCCTCTGATTCTCTGTGGATGATAAATGTTTTCTAGCATGTTGTATGCTGTTGCACCAGCTTCCTCATGGTCCCTTCTGTGTCAGGTTATTTTTGATGTACCAAAGCACTACAGCATCTGTGCTTGAAAAGATGGCCTAGTGCCATTTGGGCTGGTGACAATTGTCTGTGCAACAGCAGTAACAAAATCCTGGTCTTTACAGACACTCTACAATTGGTGAGGAACTGTTGTCTTGAAGGGTTAATAAGATATTGTGAGAATCTCTGCCGCATATGCTCCAGCTTATCTAATAATAAAAATAAGTATTACTTCCTGTTTTTTACTACAAAACCTGAAATGCAAAAACACTCCAAAACCATGGCTGGTAGATGGATTTGTGTGTAATCATCTTGGATCACAGCCGTAACATGTGGCATGCTAAGTGTTATTTTTTTAATTAATTTCAATAGTTTTTTTATCATTTCTATTTTGTCTATTTGGAATTCTGAGCAGAAACTATCAATGAAAAATGAGCCAAGAAAAACAAGCAATCAAAGAGCTGTAAATGAGCCCTCAGTACACAGCAACACTGGCAGAACAGGCATCACTGAAATATTTTCATCTTTAAGGGCACGGGCATCACTACAGCATCTAGTTCCTTGGCTGGTAGCTGTTAAAACAGAACCCTGGTGTGGATATTTTTAATGGATCGGTCAGTACCACAGCGACACATGTATAGTCCCGCCTGTGTGCACAACACCGAAGACACATGCATCAACATTTTTGTGCCTTATAGCTTGTGTCAAGTTTTGCCTAATCTGGGTTTTTAAGTGTACACCGTCATTTAGATGGGACACCAAGGCAGCCTGTGGCTTTGGTCAATGATGAAGAAAATTAGCCATACATATGAGTCATTCAGGAGGCATAAATAATAACAAAAGAAAACATGAAAGGCTTTCATAAACAAAAGCTCTGTTCATTTATTTATGAAGGGGAGAAATGGAATACATTGAAAAACGCTCTGGGTGAAATGGAGCTAGTGTAGACTCAAACTCAGTGGTTTGTATTCCAAAAACAACAAGCTTTATTTTCTTCAGTAAAAAATTCAAATCCTGTGTGAGCCACTGCATCAACCGGTTTTCATAAGAATGCAGATCACCTTGGGCCCCCTTTTCACTCATATGCCCCCACAGGAGTTTGTTAATTAAAAGAAATCATCAGCACAACCTCCTGAGGGCCAGCATACATACATAGTGTAGTACCCTTAAATATGCAGCACTGGTGTAAAACAACATTTAACAAAACATTTCAATATTAAAATATGTGAGGCTCAACTTATTTCTTCTAGTATTAATTAATATATGTGGCTGTTGCTTTTAGTCAAAATGATTGAATATACGTACATTTCCACCCTTACACCCTCACTTAAACGTATACAGCTGGACAATGTCTTGGTAGATTTGAGTTAAGTACCTTTTCAAGGACATAATAGAAATGCTGGGATTTAAACCCACAAAGGTTGCAATTCAGAGCTCTGTTCACTATTCCCTTTAACAACTGCCTGTATACACAGTTATGAAGTTATTATTATTCTAAAATAATATCTATTCTTAAAACTAGGGGGGAAAGCAAAGCGAAAGTGAAACAAATAAAAATGCAGAGGAAAGGCTTGGCAATATAGAAGATCCAAATCACAGTCTGTTGCAGAGTTAGCCATGTAAACACTCATGTGTAGGCGTTCTGTATGATGGGCACACAGGAGCTGGCTGGCATCTCAGATACCAGGAGATTGCCCTTCATTTACAGCATTGTTTGGCAGCAGGGGGGCAGTTCATGGAGTTAACCTCTCCAAGTGATTACGGGACATGTCTGGAACCACAGGCAGGACAGATGGTCCCATGGGTGGCCATGCGAAGTGGGGGAAGGGGTGATATGGCACTTTAGGGGTCTGTCAATGTCCAGGCATCTTTTTGAAATCCATCTTTAATCCATCTTATTCATTGGTAAGAAAATCTGTGGACAGAACTGTGACATAAATCAAGGTCCACAACACTACATCTCGTGGGCAGACAAATCCTAACAGAAATGTGTAAATTCTCTTGGTTTCTGTAGAATTTGCTATTATCCACAGAGGACAGACAATTAGTTCAGTTAACTCCCTCTGTCGAAGTATCCTCTTTACCCTCTTTATATATTGATCCCTGCAAAAAAGCAGGATTAGGAATTCATTGAATCAGCTCACTGATTTTTACAAAAAAAAACAAAGTTAACGCAGACCAGTGAATGACTAAACAGAAGTCTGAAGTTGTATCCAACTAATTGCTTTTCTGTTTCAGGGGACATTGGTACTGTCCTCCTTCTGCAAAAGATACAGAGTCTAGACCACTGATAAACAGTCTTGTGCTGGAGTCCTGCGGGGCTGCAGCCTCACTGACTAAAGACTGTTTTTACCACAATGTTGTGGTTCTGAAGGCAGGGAATAATATTTTTAATGTGCAGGTCCGATTGAAAACAAGGA